ACAGATACTTGAAAGAAAATTGAAAATAATTGATAATGAAATGTCAATCAGTAATTTTAATTATTTTGAAAGTAAGAGAGAAATTCTTTACCATTTAGCAATAGTAATTTTCTTTGAATAAATTAATTGAAACATATTACATACTATATACAGCAAAATCTATTGAAATGAGAAAATCTATACCAATTTCAATCTTATTCATTAGCTCACAAACAGTGCAAATTAATTTAATTGATTAATTAAAATTGATATATGTCAAAGCAATCAAGTACTAAAATCTTTCTTTAATTAATTGAATTAAAATATGTGAGCATAAAGATATTAAATATAAATTAAAAAAAAATCAAGAAATTTAAATTAGTTGATTTTGTTATATATGAAATTCGAAGTAAAAGAGTATAAAGTATTATCTGAAGACCTTGTATGAGGACTAATATATGTAGTGTAATCATTGGGTTTAATTTTTTTAAGTTAATATAGTACTTTTAATATAGAACGTATATTTATGCGTTTATGTATAAAATGTTTGCAATAAATAAATAATAACTAAATTTAAAAGCATCAATGGTGCTTATAAGATAATGGTTTCTACTAGTTAGTTAAGCTTCAAATGATTTATGGGAATATTTTCATAAATATTCTTTTAAGATAATTAAAAATATAATAATTATGTTATCAATATTTTAACTATTTTAAATCAAATTGCCACACATAGATAATATTTAAAGAGATATAAGCTTTGAAATTTTTTCTAAAATTTGTAAATGTTTATTTAAATACTCATATATATTTAAAAAAACTACTGTATAATTTCAAAAATATATAAATAAATTTAATTTTAAGATGATAATTTATAAATACTTGTAATTATTTTTTTAGAGATCCAAACTTTTATTAATAATTTGTTGTTTTAGTTCTTTTAAAAAATTGAGCTTAAAAAATATTTTTATTTAGGTGAATATTTTAACTATAGTTTATAGTCATCTTTCGGGTACCCAGAAGGGTGTCAGGGTAATAGTTATTAATAAATGCTTATAAAAAGTATAAAAACTATTGAATATTCAATTTTATATTATTTTTATTATTTATTCCTATTTATATTTTATTATTAATAACTAGAATAAACTGTAGAGAGAGAGTAAATAAGCCAAGAAATTGTTAAAAAGGGTATAGATTCATTTAATAAATTATGTATTAAAATTAATAAAAAATAATAAATAAATAATAATAAGCAAATCATCAATAAATAATAAATATATAATGAATAAATAAATAATAAATAAGTAATACATTACCAATAAGTAAATAATATATAAACAATAAACAAATGATAAATAAATGAAAAATATGTATTAAATAGATAATAAATAAATAAATAATAACTAAATAAATAATAAACTAATAAATAATAACTAAATAAATAAAAAATAATTGATAAGTAATAAATAAATAAATTAATAAATATAAACATATTGTTATTGATTTAATTTTTATAATAAATTTCATTTTTTTTGAGAATTATTTCAAAAAAAAAACACATCGCGTTTCTGTTATATTTAATACAATATTATTATTTTCTATTTATAAACGTTTAATAAGCATATTAAGTATTTAATAGCACAGATTATATTTAATGCTATTATATATTTTTGTATCTGATGGGATATATAGATGTTCAACTGGACAAAAATGAATGATATATTTCAGGTTTTCAAATATAGAATTAACATAGTAGGAACTTTTAATTTTCTAGATAGTATAAAACTAATGCAATCAGTTAGCCAACCATTGTGTCTAAATCCGAAGAATAAAATTTACTACTGTTAGGGGGCAAGTTGCAAGACAAACTCTATGGACTAGGGCTTTAATAAAAATGCAAGAGAGTTTTAAATGCGATGAGAAATATATGGAAAACAAAAAACACATCAAAGTTCTTGTCAGAGTTCATGCGATGAAAAATATATGGAAACAATGCGAATCTCTAGAACCACCGCATTAACCTAAACTAAATATATTTTTGTCTATTACTATTTAAATATTTATATTGCAATTTTATTTCATTTGGGGTTTACACATTTGCATTTATGTAAACCCAATTTTTTTAAAAGAGTATATGTATGCATATTTCATTAGCACAGTACATCTTATACATACCGGTGGAACAATGCGATTGAATTTGTGGGAAATATAAATATTCCAGTAAAAAGTTATAGTAAAAATAGAATAGGTAAGAATAGAATAGGTATTATAGATACGTTATTATACGTTATTATAGATACGGTACGTTATTACCGATTCTAATAATATATATATCTAACGAGCTAATCAAAAAAAGTTAATGCTATATGGGTTTCTTATTTTAATATTAGACACATCATGTGAAAAAAAATAAGTGAAAAAAGCTTTTGGGAAAACTCTTTAATTAAAACTTATTAACAAAAACTGTTATATACCTAATAGATATATATAGGTATTACGTATACCACTTAAAAAAATGTATTTAAAAGGATTTAATAGGTATAGGTATTACCTATACCACTTAAAAAATGTATAAAAAATGATATGATAGGTATAAGTATTACCTATACCACTTAAATAATGTATAAAAAAGGATTTTGAAATTAAATATTGTATGCATCTATATCATTAATTTATAGTATTATATAATATTTAGTTCTGTTTATAGTCCAAAATGGGTCGTCTTTCAGATACAAATTATTGTAAATAGAAGAACCGTTTTTATTTGTTAACTCACTCTGCTTAATTTATTTATCTATTAGTATAGATTTTGACACGATTGCAAAAGATTTCAATGCAATAAGTTTAAAAAGTCATGAAGAACTAAATATTGGTCCACAGAATCTGATCTACACTTCGCGCCTAAATGAAACTTCTTGTGAGTGCTTAAGTAATATTTTCAGAGTCTCAGCTTAAATGTTTAGGAAAAAACCAAATTTTGTTTTGTAAAAAAATTCTGAATGATTGGGTGGACATAAATTTAGAACCTAAATTCTGTAACTAAATGTAACTTCTTCTAAGTAGTTAAGTATGTATCAAAAAAATTATATGCATTATTTTTTCTTCTTAATTCTATTTTAATTTAAAGGTAATATTATGTTACTACCAGAAACTTTATCAAACTATTTAATATTTTTTTATTAGTATTTCATTTTTTTCACGTGCTTAATTAACAAAGTCAGGTTTCTTAATGACTATTCTCGGTACTCAAGCCAGGTTTATGATACTGATTATAAAAATAACATAAAAAGAAAATAAGATTTTTTAATTCCAGTAAATTCCATTATATCTTCTTGTACTTGACTGCTATTTTTCCAAGATCAAAACTACGAAGTAATGATGACGTTGCTCCATATGTAAAATAAGTCGTGTGAAGCCACAAAGAAGAAATTCTTCAGTTATTATTACGTACTATGGGTATAATGTGCATGCGGAACAAAAGGGGATCAAATTGGAGTTAATTGTTGTTGTTCACCATAGAATTGTTCATGAAATAGTAGATTTCTTACATCATATCTCAAATGTAATAATAATAACAAATGAAGAAATCTATTATATGTTAGTGTAGTATTTTTTGTAGTGTGGTTTTTGTCATGTCACTGTTGAGCATAATTTGTTTAAATATTTTCTATTAAAACTTATATGTATTTTGTCAAAATTGTTTACAGTGTCTTTAATCAATGTATACGTCAGCGCTGATTACACTGCAAACTGCTAATTTGTAAATGAGTTCATGCGAGTATCGCTATATATTTATTTATAACATAAAATGATGTCATTTTATAGATAAAAGCAGTATGATTTCAATATTTTGTTCATTGTAAATGAACAATGTGAAAAAAATATTGAAAAAGTGCAGAACAATTAACTGGAAATTACTATAAAGTTAAAATAGTAACTATAAAAATTTTTTTTTTTCATCTACGCCCTTGTATCTACGCCAGTCTCACGGAAGTGCAAAATGACATAATTTAGTACTTAAGCTATGGACTTTATTTATTATTTTTTCATACATAAATAATTCTAGAATTTTTGAGCTATGCAAACAATTTCAGGTTCTGTAAGTTTGTTAATTTAAAAGTGTTTTTAATTGAAACGCTCATGGCACTGAAAGGCAAACTACATACGAGTAGTATTCAACATAATCATGACCGTTTGCTTTATCAAGCCGCTTTTGGATAAGATAAATTTTGTAAAATATAAATTCGTCGGTATGTGTGATTGCTTAAAAGTGTTAAATTTTTAAATTTTCAACAAAAAAACAAAAAAAACAAAACACGAAAATAAAAAATAAAAAGCAATCTATTATTGTAAGCAAGTTAGTTATGCCTAATGCTTTCAGAATTTGTAAGCAAAGTTAATTGAAAATATTTCAGTTCAGCTTTTTGTTGTATCTGAGCTGGTTTGCGTACATAAAACAACATTTAATAGCGGCTATTAAACAACTTCAATCAGCAAAAAAAAAAACTGAATTTGAAAAGTCGTACAGAATTTTTCGAAGGGCATTTAAATCTCCCATACAATACTTGAATACCCCGAATGAAGAGCCCCTGCTGTTAGACTAATTTGTTTAGGTATTTATTTTTCGCATAGATAGTTTTTTGTTTAATGGACTCTTAATAAAAAAAAACTTTGAATGGAAAATAGTTGAGAAAAAGCTGTGAAAACGTCACTCTCAATAGAAAAATAATAAAAGAAAATAAAAAAAATCGAAAAAAATAGAAAAAATCGCGAAAGAAAATACTAGCAATGAAAGAAACTAAACAAGAAAATGATGAGAATGCACACTTTCCACATATTTGTGAAATCTACAATTTATTATTAAATTTTGAGGTTAGAAACGTATGCAAAAAATTTACAAAAATATCTTGTGACTTTTGCTTCCATAATAAAACTATTAATTAAGATAAATTTTTGACTTAATTATTTTGATAACAACACTATATAAAGAGTTTCATCTACAAGTCTTGTGGTTCACTCACCTTTGAGCCAATTTGATTACCGCATTGACCTGCTTGCAAATGTACGATTTCCCTCATTTTTGTATTGACTTTTTCCACACTTCACAGACAGAACACACAGAAATTATTATTTAATATGAAAATAAAAATTTGTACTTTAAATTTGTCGAAAAAATGAACACTCTTGTCAATAGTTTAGCACGGACTATCAATACCGCTTGCGATAAGATACACAAACTAACCACGAATGCGTATAAACACGTTATAATAATGCCGCTCGTACGCACCGACGGACACAGCTCAGATACTCAGATACTCAGCGAACAGCGAACAGCTAGCAGCTACTTTGGAACAAGTGCGCGAAATTGCGGATACTTTAAACAGTACTGCGATGAGTAGTTTTACGATGAGTACGAGAACTGATCGAAGAACAGAAAACAACACAACAGGTTCTGCGAGGGGCGAAGCTAGCACAAGTGAGTGAAGAATCGTGAAGAATCGCTACCGACACCGTATGAATGCGCTGCGAGAATGATATTTGTTGGCTTCCCAGTCAACAATTTTTCTATTCATTAATTTGTTTTTGTTTTTGTTTTTGCCTTTGCTTCTTATTGCGCTTTCGTTGTTGCTTTCGTCTGTAGTATGCGTACAATGTGAAGAGCATGAAGAATCAAGCGAATACGTCAATAAAAATAGTGAAGAGTAAACAATTTCACTGGATGACCAAAGGTGCAGAAGAGTTGTGAAACGTGAATACAATGCCAGCCAGCGTTAGCGCTCATCAATTTTTTTTTTAAAAAAGTTTTTAATGAAAAATGGAGCGTAGCCCATAGAAGAAAACGAAAAAAATAAAATTTATGTTCTAGAAGAGAATGTCAAAATCTTCACTATAAGCAGTGGTGGGATTTAAAGAAAAAATATTATCGTTTAAGTTAATTTAAATATATATTATTATATTTTTTATTTAATTTTTTCATAATATTTAAACAAAATAGAAATTAACAACAACTAGTCATATTGACTAACAATATTAACTTTTTTTAATTAATAGTACAAGTAATATTATTTATCTAAAGTGAGCAGATAGACCTGAGCTAGTAAACGCCTTACTGGTTGAAACGCCTCAAAAGGTTAAAAAGGAAAAATGTTGTTTAAGTGCTGACTTAGGCTGTCATAATGTATTTTGGGCGACTTATATATAAAGTAATGCCCCTATAACGCGGTAGATTGGTTAGGCGTTATAGGAAAACGCGTTATAGGGGTATTCCCGTATACACACGTGCAAAGGTACACAAAACTAATTATGAACTGTAAAAATCCCCACGTTATATGGGGAAATGACCGTATTATACAGGGGATTGAAATCGTTTAATATGAAAACGCGTTATAAGGGTACCACGTTATAGAGGGGATTACTGTATATATATTATATATATTATTTTATGGCCCAAATTATAAATATGGTGTTGTATTAAGCTTACTGATCACTTATTTGAAATAATTGTTATAAACAAAAAAATAAGAAAAAAATACTTAAATTAGATATATTAAAAAAATTGAAAACAAATTAAAAATTATTTTAAATTACAACCTTATATTGAAATATATGAAATTTAATTAACATCGTTATCGTTTGGTGTGACGTTTTTAATCGAGATTAACTCTTAGTGCAATTTTAATTTTCGATTGGTAAATCTTGTATTACACTTATATATATATATGTATTACACTCGATATATGTTGTCATTTAAGCTACAGTGTTAATTTATAATACTCTACATATTTTACTAGAGTAGTAAGATTACCCTTAAATTAACAGCTGTTTTATATGACTAAACAAGTAAAGTGTGCTTTAATTTGATATATGTAAGTATTTATGAAAGATATAAATATCTATTAACACTCTTACAAAAATGTTTGCTTACTCTAAAAATGTTTGATTTGGTTACAAAATTTGACAGATCGACACTAAATCTAAACTGAATCCACATTTACCAAGCGAAAATGCCATAACGCTATTTATATATTTTTTCTTTTCAAATACATAATTTCTGTATTTCTATATTTTCTATAGACACTTTTTAAGACAAGTTAAAATTATATACCCCATCACTACTAGGATTATCTAGTTGCGTTATTGGGTTATAAATATTTTCTTTTTACTAAATAATGCATCAGTTTTGTTTATTAAAATCTATGCAAAAATATTACTTTTTTATAAAGCTCTTAATTATTAACTAAGAAGTAAATTAATATTTTAAATTAATATTTCATATATATATTTCAGTACCTTTTATTCAAAAATTATATTCGGTCTATTAAATATTATTTGGTATTATTCAAAATAACTGTATAGTAATCCAAGGAATTCACTTTATTAAAAATTAATTGTTATAAATAAAATAATATTCTTCATTAAAAAATCTTCTCAATAAGAAAACAAATATCTTTATCATTATAACATTAGATGTATTTGTTAAATTAATATAGTATCAAATATAGATAAGACACTTCATTCAGCTACATAGGCAATATATTATTCAAAATATTTTTCAAAATATTTTTCCATTGCTAATAAACTAGCATATTTCATATGAGCATTCCCTTTCCTTTCCGTTAACATGAAAATATGTATGATATCACAATAAGTATTGTAAAGCACTTTTTCTATTTTATTTTCTAGTGACAACTGTGTTTGTACTTCTTTATTTCAATTCAAATTCAAGAAATTTTTAATATTAATATAAAAAGTATCTCATGGAATCGCCACTGTCATATATCAATCCATAGTTCTGTTCTCTCACTATTCATATGCTGCCGGTACGCTTTATGCCGGCTATTTTGAAAGCAGATTAGCATGCACAGGCTTAAGTAGTGAATGCAGTGCATGAGGCAAAATTGGGGCAAAATTAGATCAAAAAGTCAACGTAGTTCAGAGAATGGGTCATATTCAGTAGTGCTACAATTTTGCTTAATTAATCAAATTAATAACTAAAAAAAAGTTCTAAAATGTTTCTATATTGAGTTAACTTCATATATAACAGATGTGCGTTACTAAGTATAATTACATATTACTATTTGAAATAAATTAAAATGCTTTTAAGAATGAGATATTCTAAACTTTTTAAAGCAGAATGAATGTAAAAAGTAAAGCATTTCATTTAATTAATATAATAATTTATTAAACGTATTTTAGGTATCCATTTTTTGATGAAATTCAAAAAAGTTTGTACTCTATTCATGGACGATCACCTGTATAAGTTAAAGTAATCTACCTTATGATTTATGCGTCATGCACAAAATAAACTAGAACGTTTTCTATCCAGCATTTCAGTCTTTACTCAATGCTAGATACTTCCTATGTACTTGAAAAGAGATTCTAATTAGCCACAATTTTAAAATCTTACTCTTAAAATTAAAAGTTACTCTTAAAAATTAAAATTTCCTCTTAAAATTTTATTTTTGGCTCTTCATATATATTTTAGCCTAAAAATATGCAGTTAAGTATTTTTAACAACTAATTACTTAAATAAATTAATTATTGAAAATGTGTGGATTAAGAACTTTCTTAATAAATAAAAAATAATATTAAAATATTACTTTAAAATAAATATTTCAGAATAGTTCTTAAAGACGTTGTGTATTCTTAGATATATTGAAGTTTAATTCATTAATATACCTATTAGTAATGAAATATACAAGTCTCTAGTTCATACCATTAAGATATTACTATTAATATAATATGATATACGAAAAGTAAATTATTAAGTAATCAATTTAAGTGGAATTTAGCAATAAATAATATAACAGATGTTCAATATAAATATTATATAGATACACGGTTAATTACCATACCTTTATTCAACTCCTAGCTATATGCTATATGTTATACTACATACACTATATATTATATACTAATATGTCGTACGATATGTTATAAAATATCAAATAACCAATCAAATCTCCAAAACAACATGCTTTTATAACTCTATTAACTTTAATCATTTATGTATTGGATTACAATCACATGGGATACCGATATAGTAAATGGTCGTCTAGTTAATATCTTGACGCTTTAAAGTAAAGTGATGATTCATTGAAAAAATCTTTAAAAAATTCTTAATGTGGCTGTACTCACAACACCCTATTCGCAGGAAAGGTGTTAGAATATTCCCGAGGAAAGGCATGAGAATCGTAAGAAGCGACTTAGATTCCGGCATGCCTCGTAAGAAGCGACTTTGTGAGTGAGTTTTCAGTTGTGGCACCTGACCGGAGTTGTATATTTGATACCACGGAGTCCACAGCTTCGACTGTTCTGCAATTGAGATTGGCACCGTCATGGTGACTGTGGTTAAAACCCAAACTTACACGAGTAGAATTATTGAATTAATTTAGCGTGGAGTTGCGTTTTTCAACCTGGTGCTTTGTTTCTCAAACATATTTTTTAGTCATTCGAATTTCTTTTGAATGCCTTCGAAATGTAAAGGAAATGCTTAAAGAAAAGAGAATAATAATTTTATAAACAGTAAATGAAACTAGATCCTCAGAATTTTAAATACTACTCCCAAAACTAAGTTCTTCAAGTACTTTTCAAGTACTATTTTTTTTATATATTCAATCAAGTTTCAATCTGCATGTAATAATAAAGTCAAAAGCTTGTAAACTTTCCAATATTAAACATTTACAAAATTGATTACAACAATATTATTAGCTATTGTATGAGCTATATAAGATATGCAATTGAAATTGTTGTATAATTTTTAGTGCAACTATATAGCACTAAATTTGTTAAAAACATCACGTTTTCGAAACTTTTGTATTGTGGAAATGATTATTATTAAAAGGTTTTGTGAGTGTTTTATTAGCTTGACCTTTGTAGTTTTTGTAATACTATCCGAAACATTCTCATGGACTAATATTCAGATTGATTTTTTTAAACAATTTTCTTTTGTATTTAATTTTTTTCTGCAATTATTTTTTATTTTATTTTTTAAACATCTTTAGTTAATTTTTTTATATATTAATTAATTATTTTTTTATAAATAATGTACGTATATTGTATTGTACTTACACATATTGTACATTGTACCTATATATATATATAAATAATTTTTTTTATTTCATATGAATGTATTTCTTTTTTTAGATAAAATTTTTTTATGTTTTATAAATAAAGAGGTTTTTCGAACAGTAGTGAACTACAACAACAACAATTTATTTTTATATTATTTTAATTAATTGAATATTTGGCGGACCATACAGCTGTTTCGAGTATTGCCAAATACCCATCATCAGTGGGTATTTGTATTTAGTTATTCGTAAATAATTTTTTGAGGCTGCAAGTACCAGGAATCGAACATGTGCCCTGCTAAATTTAAAGCTCAGAATCAGCTTACCTTAACCAACTGACCCAAAGCTGTTTTATTAATTTGCTGTAAAGCGGTTTTTTTCGAAGAATAGTGAACTACAACAACAAAAATTAATTTTTATATTATTTTAAGTAATTGAA